CTGCTCGGGGCAGGGAGCAGCCAGTCTGCACCAGCAGGGCTGGATCCAACTGGCCACAGGCTCCTTGTTCTGTGAGGGAGAAGCTGGCCTGAGAAAAGGGGGGAGGTGTGGGAGTGCACAGCTTTCCCCACAGGAGTGCACATGACCACACACACACACACACACACACTCAACCATGAGGATCTAGGCTATTCTAGCCTGACTTGGCTCAGCTCAGGAAGATGGTTTCTAGAAAGATGCCTGGGTGGCTCAGTCGGTGAAGCCTTCAGCTCAGATCATGATCCCAGGGTCCTGGGATCGAGCCCTGCATCGCGCTCCCTGCTCTGCGGGAGGCCTGCTTCTCCCTTTCCCTCTGTAGCTCTCCCTGCTTCTGCTCTCTCTCTTTCTCTGACAAATAAATAAGTAAAACCTTAAAAAAAAAAAAAGATTTCTGGAAATCTTCTCGGAATGCAATATTAAACCTGGAAGGAGCCCTTGACATCTGGAGGCACCATGAAGGCCTTAGATGGACAAGAGAAGTGAGGTCAGTGAAGGCGCTTCCCACGGTCACACTGAGAGCTCAGGGGGACCTGGAGGACCTGGGGCCAGAGCCTGCCTGTCCTATAGCTGGAGGGAGCAGGAAGCTCCAGGACTAAGTAAGAGGCCACCAAGATGAGAGGAGGCGGGGCCAGCAGGGTGGTGAGGGAGGGCACTAGGATTACTCACATTTATTAAGCATTTACTATATGCCAGACACGTGCCATATACCTGTCAGGATGTGCATCGGCCCCTTAAATTCTCGCACACATCCCGTGAGGTTGATATTAGAGTTAGCCCCGTTGTTACTGACAAGGAAACTGAGGCTCAAAGAGGTGAAGGGACTCACAGCTAGTAAGTAGAAGATCCAAGTTTGTCAGAGCTCAAGTTCAGGGCTTCGGCCCTACTGGGGCCCCGGGCCCCCATGCTGGCAGGATGGGCAGGCGGGGTGGTTGGGCCAGCTCTTGATCAGCGCCGCCTGCATTTAGGGAGGAGAGTCTGGGTGCCATCTTTCCTGCAGTCCTCTCCTGGAAGAAGGGCCCCTTGCTGGCCAGGGCTGCCCACCAGACTGTGAGGACAAGGAGCTGTCATTCCTTCTGCTCCAGAACAAAGATCTCTGACCTCACCCACAGCATGGCTGCATATGGAGTCCTGGGGAGGTCCAGAGATGTGGGAAGTGGTGCTCTGAAGCCCCAGGTGGGCCCGACTCCAGCCTTCTCCTTTCAGCTCTGCTGAGTGACACAGTACAAGTCCCTTCCCTGCCCCGGGGCCTCAGTGCCCCCATCTGGCCCATGGGGGGGTGCGCCTAGGTTGTCTGCGGGCTCTGCCAGCTCTGGCAGTCTAGAAATCTATGACATAAGCACATGGAAAGAGAACTGACAGTCTCGGGCAGGCCATGCCAAGCGCCAGATGAGGAGTGCTACAGTTCCTCAACGTGGACTTGATGTTCACCGGGAGCGAGGTCATGATGAGTAGCGTAGCTAGCGAGGACAGATGGGCTCTCATTCATTCCTTTCAACGAGCGAGCATGTGCTAAGCGCCTACTATGTGCCAGGCACTCTGCTGGGTGCTAGTGATGCAACAGGGAGCCCTTCTTCTCCTCCAGGAACCATACGCACCTGCCACATCAACGTCATTACCTTGGGGAGCAGTAGCGTGACGGACGGGCCTGGCCTACCTGTTGCAGTCATCAAGTCTCTATCTCTCTCTTCCTCCTCCTCCCCGCTCTCTTGGGCTTTGCCTTTGCACTTTTCTCTCTGCTTTCTCCCCTCCCCTGTTCGGATCTCTGTCCGTCCTCCCCTTCCTTGAGTCTCACTAAGCATGGGAAGAGGGGGTGGGGGATTCCCACCTGGAGCTCCCCTGCCCGCCCGGATGAGGACATTTGGAAACCAAGGGAGGGATCAATGTAGATAAGAAGACTGGCCAAGGCCCGGCCTGGCAGCCGTGGCCCCGGGATCATGGGGAGGGCCACGTATGCTGGTAGGCCCCAATCAATGGGAGACTGATCCAATGCGAGAGCTACTCTCCCCTCCCCAGTCGCAAGGTAGGGTTGGGTTACAGCGTGGAAGGCAGATCCCCAGGGAAGGCCAAGGAGCACAGAGTGGGCCACTAGGACCAGGGAAATGGCTTTTGGACAGATGCCACCTGTTAGTTTCATGCCTGGAATTCCAGCGGGGACTGGCGTTGAGGTGTCTGAGATGAGATGAAAAGAGAACCCTGGGAATGGAATCCATCAGCCGACCTGGATTCAAGGCCTCACACATGTAACCTTGGCTGAGCCTCTGTTCCTTCAAGTGTGAACAGAGATAATGCCAGTTACCCAGAGTGAGACCTAAGTGATCCAACCTAAGTGATAGTGCTTTACAAATGAGCAGGATGGCTCATCTCTTCCTGAGGCCAAGGACAACAGGCCACAGCGCTAGAGAACGGGCTCAGGTGTCGGGGGGGACTTCTCGGCTGGGGGAGGGTAGAACTGGGGAGGAGAACGTTGTGAGCGTTCAGAGTGAGAAGAGAAGAGCACCGTGGGGGAGGGGCGGTCCTGCCCGGCACACCTCGCCGCATGCAGAGACAGTGTGCTGATGAATGGTGGCAAGAGCGGGTACCTTTGAGTCAGAGAACCCAGGCCTCAAATCTCGGTTCGGTCCCTCCCTAGCTGGGTGGCCTTGGACAAGTCAGTTATCCTCAGAGCCCTCGCTTCCTTCATCTGTACAACTGGGCCCCTCAGGCCTCGCTCTTCAGGTTTGCATGGTTCCTGGCAGGTGTCAAACACGTGAGTTTTCAAGTTCCTAATCTCTGTACCTAGGCCTCAGTTTCTGCCTTCGTCCAGAATGGAGGTTGGACTAGATGATGTATCAGGTCCCATCTATCCCGAATGTGCAGAAACAAGCCTCAGTTATCATCTCTGTTTTCTTTCTGGGTCCAGTGAGTCAGTCACCAGCAAGAACTTGATTGACTGGGTGCTCTCTTAGGTGCTGCAGAATGGGGAAGGAAGGGGTGTTGCTAGAGCAACAGGATGGAGGGCCCTGGGGCCCTGGCCCTTAGAAACAAGGCTGCCAGCCTGCTCTCTCCCACAGGATGGCCTGTTAGAGCCCAGGACAGCCCCTGAACGTGCCCAGGGGCCACTGCTGGAGGCCCCACTGGCAGAGTGAGACTGGAGGCGGATCTGGGCCTGGGGCTCGGGAGCTTGGCTACAGCAGCTGGGAGTAGAGAAGCCCCACTGGCTCAAGCCCATGTGTTTCTCTTCCTCAGGAAGCACAAAGAAAGACTTAAAGGATTTAGACCTCAGGGGGAAAAAAGAGAAGAGAATTAGAACCCAAATCCACATCTGGCCTGACAGTATGTCTAACCCTAAGCTGTGCACACTGAAGGGTGGGGGGCTGGGGTTGCGGGGGGGGGATGGGGGGCAGCGGGAGAGCAGCTGGTTGTTCCCTCTGAGCTGCCTTTCTGGTGACATCACTGACAACAGAGGCATCCACGTGGGGCAGGGCTGACCACCCCCATCTGGATCCGCCCAGAGTGAGGAAGGAGAGAGGATGGGGCTTCTGAAGGAAGCCGCAGTTCCTGCTTGGACTCAGCGGGGAGCCTCTCAGGGCTTCATTCTCCGCAGCTACGAAACAGGGCCCATCGTGCTCCCTCACATGCAGAGTGATACTGTGATTAGGTCTCTCTGCAGAGAAAGGTGTGAGGCAGACACTCATGCCACCCCTTGGAGGGGATGCTCTGCACGTTGATATTCCCAGCGTTAGTGCCACTGAGCCTGCTCCTGGGGGGGAGGGGCAATGGCAGACAGTCTGTCCATGTTCCCTCCAACGATTCAGAGGCATTTCTGATCCAGAACGGCAGAATCAGCACTGGGCGGGGGGGGCTCACACCTTGCCCTACTGGGGAAGGGACTGGTCAGGGTCACCCGGTGAGCCGGGAGTAGTGGCAGGACTTGCCCTTGGCTCTTCTGCCTCCCAGTCAGGCAGGGAACGTTTTCCCTTCTCCTCACCGCCTCCTGAAAAGCACAAGGGAACTGAGTCCTCAGAAATAAAGGAGAACTGGTCCTTTGCCCTGAGGAAGGTGGGTGGCGGTTCTCAGTCCTCTAGCTTAGAGCGTCCATCCCTGCCTCTGCCTGGATCTATATTCCAGGCCCTAGAGCCTCAGGACCACTCCGACTGGGGTTGCCAGAGAAAATACGGGAACGCAGTTAAATTTGTGTTTGAGATAAACAATGAATTTTTTTTTTTTTTTTTTTTAGTATATGTCCCAAATATTGCGTGGGACATACTGGTACTAAATTGTTTAAAAAAGTGTTGTGTATCCGAAACTGAGATTGTAATTGGGTGTCCTGTATTTTTATTTGCGAAATTGGCCAACCCTACTGCTGTCAAGCCACCTTAAGGAACAGGAGGAGATGGCTGCTTTAGGGTAGGGACTTCCCACTTTCCAATCCCCAGGCCTCAGCTGATCAGCTGGAACAGCTCGCTAGCTGAGAGCACATGTCTAATTTGGCTGCTCACTGATTTGCACCCCCTTCTCCCTTCATCCTCCTGGGCCTGGTGCTGCCCTAGTGAGCTGAGCCTGGTAATGAACAGGAACCACTTCATGTGGAACAGCACAGGCCCACGGGCACTGGGTGGGCCCTTTGCCGGCGCCTCAGCTGACCCACCTCACGGTCAGGCCTTTGGCACTGAGGGACTCTGAAGGGAGGCCCTGCCTCTCAGGTTGACCTCCGTGGGGAGATCTAAAGCGGGAGATTGGGCGGCCACTCTCCAATCCTTCACTGATAAGTTTGGAAAGTGTGGGGTGGGCATGGAGGCCAGGGGGTGGGCAGAGAGCAGACTGCTGAGGCAGGCAAGAGGCAGGGTGTAAAGTCTCAACCCTCTGCTTGGAGACTAAGGAAACTGGGCAAGAAGATTCTAGTATGTGAGGGAAACAGAAGAAGGCTGAGCCCAGGACCTGAAGAAAAACTCAAGGCTACACTCCCCAAAGTGAACACTTACTGTGAGATGTTCTGTGGAAAAAGTCCTTTGAGGTCAAACTTCTTTGGGAAACACAGTAGACTGACACACACAAACACACAGCCCCATGAGCGATTTGCTTGTATGGCAGCTTCCTGGAGGTTCTGAGAAGTCCTGCAGTAAAACAAACAAAAAACTACTTACATTGGCTAAATTTGGCATTTCCCGTATTTATTTGACATTGAATCTTCTTTTATCATAATGTCTCTGACCCTTCCTAGGCACTCCTGCTTTCTGGGACACACATTCATATTCAAGACATTCTGTGGGCCATGCCTCTGTTAGGACAGTGGCCACCTCAGAGTAGCCAGGTTCTCTGGGTCCTGGAGGCCAAGCCTGCTGGGTCCCATCCTCCTGCCCCAGGGCCCAGGCTCCAGCTCAGCCCTGTGTCCCTTCCCAGCCTTCATTTCACATGAACCTTTTTTCTCAGGCTCTGTTTGTAGTCATGACAATTCATGTGTATGTGCACATGTTCATATGTGTATCTACGAATAGGTACATGAGGAGACACCGACGGCATGCCTATGAGTGTGGGCTAATTCTGGGAGCCTGAATGTCAAAGTTGTAGGGGGTGGGGAGAGAGAGAGAGAGAGGTTTTGATAGATTTTCTCTCCTGGTCCACTTCCTTGGGTAACTCTAACTTCTCCCACCATTCTAGCCACCAAGAAACATTCTAGAAGTCAGCTAGCGACAAAGTCCATGCTAGTCACACCATCTGCCAAGCTTATGGGCTCGTGCCTTTTAAGATTATGGAGAAAGGTCTCCAGAGTGCATAGCCCATACCCACTAAGGAAAGCATAGCAGAGAGGAGCAGAGGCTGAAATCTGGGCCCCACTGTTTGGGAGGATTCTAGAACCGGCCGCCAAGCCTCAAGGGTCCGTTGAGGACCAAGTGTCAGTTCCAGGAGGGCAGGGACTGTATGTGTCTTACGTCTGTGTTCCTAGTGCCTAACGCAAGGCCCGCCATGTGATCTGTGTGTGTGTGTGTGTGCTTGTGTAACAAATGTTTATTGAGCATTTACTATATAATACCAGGCATTGTCCTAAGAACTTCACATGTAATAACTTAGGGAATCCTCACAACCACCCTCTGGGGTAAGTACTATTATTATAATACCCATTTTACAGATGTCGACACTGAGGTACCAGGGAGTGAGTACCTCACCCCAGGTCACACAGCCAATAAACAGTACAGCCAGGGTTCGACCCTGGCGGTCTGACTAGAGCTCACTCTCTAAACCACTATTCCATACTCGGTGGTTCAACGAATAGTTAATTATTGAATGAATGTATGAAGGCGCGCACGAGTGAATGAATGAAAGAAGCACCCAGCGATGGTGGCCCACGCCCTTCGGGCAGCTTGATGTCCTGCCGGAAGTGGTGTAACACAGGGAGTGTGCCCTGCCAGCCACCCACACCAACGTCACCTCCGTCCTCCCTCCTTCCTTCCACCCAGGCTTTTGCCACATTTTCCTGTCCCCCTCCTCCCCCACTACTCCTCCCTGGCTCCTCCCCAGCCCACCAGCTCCTTGGGTCGCCCGCTTGCCAAAGTGCCTGTCTCCTCTGTCTTGCGTGTGTGCCTGCTTGTGTGTGCACCACAAGACCCACAAGCTGTAAAACAAAGCAGGGAGCTGCCTCACTCACGCGCCGCACCTTTGATGTCTCCTTCCTGGCAGCTGCGGGACACTGAGCCACCCTCCGCAGGCTTAGGTCCCGGAGGGCGGCTGCCAGTTGAGAAATTCCACACCCAGAAGGCCCAGGCCAACAGGAACATGGGTCGGTGGAAAGGCAGCAAGCAGGAGACCTGGTAGGGAGGGCCGGCCTGCTGGATGGACCTGGCCGTCTCACACTCAGCAGCCTCGCACCCGGGGGGCGGGCGGGTCTTTGGGGACTAGCTGCTAACATGATTCATAAATAATAACACCCGCCCCTCACATTAGTATAGCAGTCAAGGGGTGACCAAGTACTTTTGCACCCGTTTGCCTAATCATTCTGCGCTATGGCATAGTTGGTAAAAGCTTTGGGGTCATGATGCCTGGGTTTGAATCCTGCTCCTGCTGCTGGGACATAGGGAAGGTCACCCATACCCTCAGAAGCTCAGTGTCTGCATCTTTAAAAGGAGGATAAGAATAACAATGCCTGGGGGCGCCTGGGTGGCTCAGTTGATTAAGCATCTGCCTTCGGCTCAGGTCATGATCCCAGGGTCCTGGGATCCAGCCCTGCATCCATCGGGCTCCCTGCTCAGCGGGAAGCCTGCTCCTCCCCCCAGCTCGTGCTCTCTCTCTCTAATAAATAAATTAATTAATTAAAAAAAAAGAATAACAATACCTGGGGGTGCATGGGTGGCTCGGTTGGTTAAGCAACCGTCTGCCTTCAGCTCAGGTCATGATCCCCCGGGTCCTGGGATCGAGTCCCGCCGGAGTCAGGCTCCCTGCTCGGTGGGGAGCCTGCTTCTCCCTCTCCCCGCCCCCTACTTGAGCACGAGCATGCGCTCTCTGTCAGCTAAATAAAATCTAAAGATTTTATTTATTTAGTTGACTGAGAGAGACACAGCGAGAGAGGGAACACATGCAGGGGGAGTGGGAGAGGGAGAAGCAGGCTTCCCGCTGAGGGGGCAGCCCGATGCGGGGCTCAATCCCGGGACCCTGGGATCATCACCTGAGCCGAAGGCAGACGCTTAACGACTGAGCCACCCAGGCGCCCCTAAATAAATAAAATCTTAAAAAATAATAAAAAAAAGAATAACGATGGCTGGCTCATAGTGCTGCCGTGGGAGTAAATGAGCCAGTCTGTGTATCATACTCAGAGTGGTGGCTGCCATGCAGACATATACCATTTATTGAATTTGTACTGCGTGCTAGACATCATGCTAAGTTCTTTTATTCACACATGGAATTTTCAACAAATTCCACGAATTAGAAGAGGAAGCCGAAGCTTAAGAAGGAGAAGTGACCTGCCCGGAGTCATAGAAGAAGCAGTCAAGTTGGGATTTGAACCCAGGTGTGCCTGTCACCACGGCCCATGCTCCTCGGGAGAACTGAAATTGAAAATATGGCATGTGTCTGTGTTTGGGGCTAGTTCAGCTCCAAACCTTTTCAGAACTTGTCCTGTGTGGCCTTTGTCTCCCGGATGCGATAGACCCAGACATCTCCCATCCCCTCGAGCTCCCTGAGCGGGAGCTTCCTGTCTTTTGCTGTCTTGCCCAAATGGCACGGAGGGGAGGGTGTTCTTCAAGGACAAAGGGTGGGGGACTGTTTGAAGCTGGGCTCTGAGCCGAGGGACCCTGTCCCATGTGTCCCTGGAATACAAGTGCCCAGGCCAGCCTGAGCCAGGCATACCTGCCTGCCTGCAGATACTGGTTACGTCTGGTCCGTGTCACCACTGGCCAGGTCTCCTTTGTGCCACAGGTGCTTTTCCCATGACACGTGTTGGCACCTGATCCCCAGGGGGTGGGCCCCTACTCTCCATTCCTGGCTTAAGGACCAGGTGCCCTTGACTAGTATCACAGAGGCTGGGGAGCTGGTCTTAAAGGGGAAGGCTATGGAAACCAGGGGAAGAGGAAGAAGCAAAGGGGGCTCCTTGGCCCCCTAACCGTTGTTCCCATGACCCCAGCTCCTCCTCCTCCCTGCACCTCTCGGCCTCCACCAACCATACCCAGAGCCGGCCATCACCTCTGAGCTCCTTTGTCCCCCAAGGGTGCTGAGAGCAGGAGCCCCTGTGCTGGCGCTCCCTGAGGTCCGTCCACAGGCTGCGCCACGATTTTCAGCCTTCTGGCCGGAGACCTTCTCAAAGGAGGAGGACACACCGAGTGAGCCCTAACTCTGCACTGGGGGGCAGGACATGGTGGGGGGGTCTTTGGTTTCCCTGATTTAATCCTCACGGCCCTGCAAGGCAGGTATTCGTATCAACATGTTACGGACGAAACAGCTGAGGTTCAGAGAGGCAAGTGACTCACTGAGGGTCCCACGGACAGTAAGTGGTGGAACCGGTGTTGGACTCAGGACTGGCTCCCAAGCAGACGGGCACGTCCACAGCACACTGGTTCTTGGTGGGATGGGGAACCCGGCCAACTTCGGCTCCGCAGGGCTTGAGGAATGAGGCACGCTGGACTTTAGGATTTGTCTGGGAGGTGAGGTTTCATTCCCGTGTGTGTGCACTTAAAAAAAAAAAAAAAGATGACTCATTTCCATGAAAGTCTTCCCTGTCTTCCCTGCCTCCTTCGACAGAGCATAATCGAGCTCGTTCTAAAGCTTCAGGGACATCATCATTAAGCCCCCATCATTATTAGCACTGGGCCGTTGTGATCTCCTCAGGCCTGTTTTCCCTGCAAGAAATGGCCCCAGTTTGTTTGCGATCTTTGAGCTCTCGTACCTGGTTGGGGTTGTTTTGTATTTTACTGGTTTTGCTGCCTACTCCCCTGCTGTCAGGCCATCAGCTCTCACTTCTTGACACTTTTAGTGTGCCTGCTTCCAGCCACCCCTCTGCCCTCCTTTTGATTTACTGCTTCTAATTTGCTGTGGCCTTGGGAACCAGATAACCAAGCTTGTTAGAGTAAACAGGAGGGGAAACGCTACAGAGGGTCCTCCTGCAGGTAGCCGGCCTGAGCTTTAGCGTGGACAGCCAAGGGCCCAAGGAGCAGCCACCAGTGCTCCGTCCTAAAGCCTGTGGCCCCCACATCCATACTGTCCGGGGCCTCTTTATCCTGACTTGTAACAAGGGGGACCTCTGGACCGGGGTGAGTTTGAGTCCAGCCCTTACTTAGCCCTAAACTGACTGGTCTCCCCGACCCTCTCCCTGGCCACACCATTGAGGAGTCTTGCTGAGCAGCAGAGTTATGGGATGGAGCGCCACCCTTGCCTAGAGGTAGAAGAATGGGCAGGAGGGCCTCTGGAGACCTCCAGTATTCCTCCCTTTCCTGCCCTGTCTCCCAGAGGCCCTGCAGAGAATTCGGGGCTGAGGAAGCTCCCACTCTCCACCTTGTCCCCAGTCCTGCCCGACAGCAGGAGGCCTCATTCCAGTGCTCATCACAGCCTGGAGGCCTCATTCCAGCGCTCATCACAGCCTGGAGGCCCACTGGAGGCCTCGGAGCCTGGGTCAGCTGGGCCCATCTCTGCTTACATCCAGGCCTAGTCCTTCAGGCTCTTACGGTTGTCCTCCCCCAAGCCCCCCAGCTCTGGCAGGAAATGGGCTGAGCTGAGCTGGCCTGGCTTGCCACCTCAGCAGTCCAAGGGCTTGCTTCTCCCCCGGCCTGGGGGAGGGAGGCGCCACTGAGGGGGAAGCCTCGAGGCAGATTTAGGACTTGGGTGGAGTTTGAAGCCCCCAAAAGCCATTTTTCAACCTGAAAACTGAACCAAGCTGGTCTGGAATTGTGGCTGGAGGATAAATGTGGACCCCATGGTGTCATTTTATGGTCAATTTTCAGAGTGTAACTGCACTTTAAGCACTAACGCTGAGTAGCAGGAAAAAACTTCTTAACCGTAAGATCTATTAAGAGTGCAGAGCTGGCTCCCAGGGGCGAGGTGGGAATGCATAGACGTGAATCATTGGAAACAGGTCTAGCCCAGGCACTAGGGAATAGCCCAGCCCAAGCTGGGCTGCAGAGAGGGAGGGGGCGGGCAGGACTGGAAGGACGAGAGGGTGCCTCCAGCTCCTTGGGCCCTGACCGCAGTGGCGGCCTCTAGTCTCCTTTCCCCAGGGGGCTGAGTCCCGAACCCCACCCTCTCCGGGGTTGGCCACTCCAAGCAGGACCTGGGAAAAGAGCACCTGGGGTAGCAGCCGGCCTGGAGGGCCGTGGCAAGGCGGGAGGGCCAGGGCTGCTGAGCTGGACAGGACTGATGCCTCTGTCTCTCTGGTTGTCTTGTTCCACGTCAGTCACCAGCCTAAGCAAGCTTCTCAGCCAGACATGGCCAGGCCCCAGGGGAAATGGGACGAGAGGCCAGGGAAAGTCTAGGTTATTTGGGGTTAAATGCCTACAGGGGGAAGCAGAGTCTGAGAAGGCTGGGGGAGGGGGAAGGGTCCCGAGATGGAGGCTGGGGATGGCAGGTGGCAGATGGAAGGGGAAGCTGGGGACAAAGTGATCGACGAGGTTCCTTCCAGCTGGAAAAATCTCTGGCTCCAAGGGATGCGGGAGTGAGGAGGCAAACTGAGTGCTAGACAGGACCTCCAACCAACCGGAGGTGAGTCTCCTCATCTCAGGTCTCAGGACCATGGTCCGCCCGTTGAAACACCTGTCAAGAGCCCATCTTTTGCGAAGATGCAGGGCTCGGGCTGGCGGGCACGGGCACTGGAGGACACCCATCAGGGGAAGGACAAAAAGCGAGGCTCAGGCTTGGCAGTGAAGAAATCTCAGCTGAACCACGATTTGCTGTGTGATCTTAGGCAAGTCTCTTTCCCCCTCTGTGAGGAAATGTACTCTTTTGTAGCCCAGTATGTGGCAGGAGGGCCAGGACTGGAATTTGAACCTGATCAAATCCTTTGACCCTCAGAGTATAAGTTTCTTGCCAGGTAGAACATTTCAGGATTTCTTGGTCTGGTGTGCTCTGGGACAGGATTTCCTGGGGGTTGAAAATAGAAATAGAGAGAAAGAAGCACACACACACACACACACACAAACATACTCACTCACTCACTCACTCACTCACTAGGTGCCAGGGAATATTGTAAGAGCTTTTTACAAATAATAATTCACTTAATTTTCACAACAGCTCTGCAAGGTGAATACTAATGTCTCCATTTTACAGATGAGGAAACTGAGGCACAGAGAAATTAGCAGGCAGACTCAAGCACCAAACCGACTCTAAAACCAAAGACACTTGCTCAGCCTCCTTTCTGGTTCCTTTCTCTAGATGGGTGACCCCGCCTCCCTCACCCCCTTCCAGGGCTTCCTTCTCTCTCACGGCTTTCACACACCGGGCTGGGTGAGGGCTCCCCTGCCTGAGCCAGCTGGCCTCCTTGAGGTGCCCTTCACCTCCCTGTACTCCCTCCATTCCCTCCCCTCCTCTCTCGGGGAGCTGAGCCAGGCTCAGGTTTCTCCATTTCCAGGCTAAGGTTCCTGCCTTGGGCTGGGCTCACTGACGAGATCTTGCTTACCTTGCACTTTCCATCCACCCTGGGGCTCTGGGTTCTGAATGGACATACGAAGAGTACCGCATGGACTGACGAAAGCCTGGCCTCTTGCCCTTGGCCCCTTGTTCGAGAGAAGGCACCCCCCAGTGCCACTGAGCAGGCCTGACTAGGCCCCCATGGGTCTCTCTGAGCGGATCTGGGGCAGAAACTTTGCCGAGGGCCCTGGAAGAATTAAGGCTGAGGGCTAGGTAAAATGTCCTTCCGGTTGTCCATGCAAACTGCCTCTCAGAATCATAATGCAGTACTAACTCTGCCTAGCATCAGACTCGTTTCCTCTTCAAGCTCTGTCTTTAGGAATCATAGCATTGCATTGTTATGATTAGATAGGCTCTTAGGAATCACTGGGGTCGAGACCTTTTGGTTCTAGATGGGAAGCCTGAAGCCCAGAAAGAGCAAGGATGTACTCAAAATTGCACAGGAAGACAGCCAGGAAAGCAAAGGGTCACTTAGGGTTCCTGAATCTTCCAGGTGACTGCCTTTTCCAGCTCAGCTCCCTGCCAGGCTTCTGGGGTCAGCTGTGTGCTACCCTCTTTGGGGTGGCCCTGCTTGCATCCCCACCCCTCACCATGCCCAAGATGACCCCCTCTACGCACATGCACCCTGCCCTAGAGACGCAGGCCCTTGGGAGTGAAGTGGGAGGCACCCAGAAGCCCAGATGAAAGGCAGAGAGCAGGATGGCAGGGACTAAAACTGTGCCACTGGGGTGGGAGGGGCATTCTGAGGCATGAGTATGCCCTGGTTTTTTCCTGCCTTTGGGTCTTACGAACCCTTGTGAGCTCCGCTTGAAAAAAAAAGAGAGGTTCACTGTGTTGGTCTCTACCGATGCTTGAAGGTCTTGGAGGTCTCCAGCAAAGTCACTGACCCAGCCCCTGCATTCTTCGTCACACCTGTCTCCTTCACCAGTGCCGAGTCCCATCTGGCGCCCCCTCCCTCCTGATTTTCCAGACCGCCCGGGGCCAGCCAGGCGAGCTGAGCACTATGGCCACAAGGGGGCACTAGCGCTCCATGGCCATGGTGGGTTCCGAGGCACGCTTTCTCGGGGCTTGGGGTGGGGGCAGCAGGAGTTTGTGTTGGGCTCCCCCACTCCCGGCACCCTCCCATTTCCTCTTGGAAGTCTCTCTAATCCTCTTATGCCGAGGGTCACATCCCCAGGCCCAGCGACGAGGTGTTTCATTTCAATTGGCCCCCACTGCCCCTAGGGGAGCTCCATGAAACGTGGGGAGGGGAGACCCCTTGGCCACAGCCCTCTTCCCTGCCCCTCCGCAGGCCCAGTTTCCTTGTTGCTCTCTTCAGCTTTCCTCTTTTTGCGGTGTCTCTCTCCTACCTGCTCACCCTCCATTCCTTTCCGGGCCTGACTTCTTGCTTCTCATAGCCCTTGGTCCAGATCTCCTCTTCTGAGCTCTGTCCTTACCAACTTTCACTCCCTCCTTCTCCTCACCCCGGCCCTCTTCTCTCTCTTCCCTCCTCCCCTGGCCTCCCCTCTCCCTTCTCCTCTGCTCCCTCTCTCCTCTCCCTTCTGCCCTTGCTCCCCAGTGGCCCCTCAGGCTGGACCGGTGGAGTGGGCCTTGGCCAGGCTGAGACAGGGAGTCAGGTAGGGCATGTCAGTCGCTGCTGGAATCTGGGAGTGGAGGAGGCTCTGGGTCAGAAACTCTCTTCAGTTCACTTAGCAAATGCAGCCTCTGGGAGTGGGGCGGCTGGGGGGTGGGGCAGATTTAGAATCCAGAGACTGGGGCCTGCTCTCAGCTGTGGCCTCGACTGGCTGTGTGACCTTTCCCATTTGCTCCCTGGGCTTCAGTTTGCCCCCCGAAGACAATGCGTGCTAGATCTCTGAGGACTCTCCCAGCTTGCGTTTTGTTTATTTTTTTTTTTTTCCAG